GCCAGAAAAAAAGGTTAACCATTTGTATCCATCTAAATCATTTCAAAACAAGGGTTTGTTTTTAAACTGTCTTTAAGTGTGGAAGTTATATATCTACCTAATCGTGTCAGAACAAGGGTTTGTTTTTAAACTGTCTTTAAGTGTGGAAGTTATATATCTACCTAATCGTGTCAGAACAGGGGTTTGTTTTAAACTGTCTTTAAGTGTGGTAGTTATCTATCCATCTAATCGCGTCAGAAAAGGGGTTTGTTTTTAAACTGTCTTTAAGTGTGGAAGCTACGTATCCATCTAATCGTGTTAGAGCAGGGGTTTGTTTTTTAACTCTTTTATAGTTATGTTACTGCTGCATGACAAGCGACAGGGGTGTTAATACGCTACTTATATTTTATCTTGATTTATAAAGTAAACAAAAGACTGGCTTTTTTTTTCGTCTCTGGAAGCACAGAACCTACAGTTGAGAAAACTAATTTATTCTGAGGAGACCCAAACGGCTATCAAATAAAACAACTGAAAGAAAGAAAACCCTATACCCGAGCAGTTTCATCAAGTGATCAAACGGACATTTCTCTTTTTCATTATATTTTTCTGACCCCACGTTCCCCCACTGAGTCAGTGGTAAGTTTACGGACTTACAGTCCAAAAATCCGGAGTTGGATTCCTCGTGGTGGGCAGAGTAGAGGTATCCTATTGTGTAGCTTCGCACCAAGAAAACAAAGACAGTAACTCCTGTGTGTTTTTAGTGCTAGTTAACAAAGGTGGTGAGTTTTGAGATTGTTCTACGGCCGTGCATCATAAGCGTGAATATGTTTCGTGATAAGAAAATATCTTACAGGCTGTGGTGTTTCACAAGCTAGTACAAGTAGGGTAAAGCCCGTTTGTTCTTACTTCAATAAATTTACTAACGTACTTAAGTATTTTTAATCGCGACAGCATAATTCATTGTAAACATTGTTTGTATGAAAAAGAACTTTGCGTCATCAAACTTATGACCAAAGTCAATAAAATGTCGGACCTAAGAGCGCCCTCACTCTTAATATTCTCCAATTATCGCTTTGAATAAACAGAAGTTAAAACACAAAACTGTTTATAACGATTTGTCCCAAAGAGTAGCGTTTCTGTACAGAATCTCAATTTTACTCATAAACTCCTGAAAACGTTCCCTTTTTTTATGTGTGAGAAACGAAATAAAACCATGCGATTAGAATATACAAAAGAATTCCTACCAAACGAGATAAGCCTTTACTTGCTTCAACACTGCTAGAATTCCTACCAAACGAGATAAGCCTTTACTTGCTTCAACACTGCTAGAATTCCTACCAAACGAGATAACCCTTTACTTGCTTCAACACTGCTAGAATTCCTACCAAACGAGATAAGCCTTTACTTGCTTCAGTACTGCTTACGTTTGCGATCAAAAATAAAGAAATATTGGTAGTCTACAAATTACCCAATATTCCTCGTTGTGCTATAAACTAAAACACATAATTTCAACTCGACGTTTATAATACCCAATTAAGAACCGTACAGTAGTGAAACCTTACTCTCTCGCTGTTTAGCTTGGAAGTAATTTTTGCAGATATTTAACCATCAAGAAATAAGCGTGTGATTTCGTACAATCTCTTAAAAATAATAACAAATTATTAAGCACGTTGATTCTAAAACCCTATGACTGAAAGTAATAAATTATATCTGCAATATCCAGTGCCGACGAGGTCTTTCGTTCAATACCAAAACTCGTTAGGTCGGCTGAGATACAACAAGCACAGTAGTGGTTGATACGCTATTTATATTATCGAAACTGTTATGGTGTTAACTAGATTAATTTGACAAAGTGTATTTTTTTCATAAACTTTACTTAAGTCATTTACAAGTCAGAATTAGTATAAGGATTAATAACGCATTATTATTTATTTTAACTTTAATTATGCTCGTCCTATTGTTTACACCTTTATCTTTGCAAGGGTTTGGAGCAAACATTGTCAGAATTAGTATAAGGATTAATAACGCATTATTATTTATTTTAACTTTAATTATGCTCGTCCTATTGTTTACACCTTTATCTTTGCAAGGGTTTGGCGCAAACATTGCCAGAATTTACATTAATACGTATTTTTTCTCTGATTCTTTATTACGTGTATCTATGTTCGAAATCCTTAGATCCAATCATAATTAGACGATTTAATTACTCTAGAACGTATTATAAGAACAAGAAATTCGTTTGATTCAACACATCGATAATTTACATAGATGTAGTTGATTAATGTATTCTCGCAAAATTATTCTGGATAATTAGTGACTTTGGAAATCATTTAATAACTCTAATGATATCATTAAGCTGTGACCTTTGAAAAATCTCTAGTTTCAGACATATTTCATTAGAAAATTTACTGATTTCTCAAATAACACGAACTACTTTGTCAATATATATGTTTTCTCGGACTTTAGCTCTGTAATTTACAAGCAGAAACGCTGTAATTGGATAAGTAAACTTGTTAAAGATATTCGTTAATGCATCCATCGTCTGCTGGAAGGGGAATTTTAAGATGGAGAAAAGTAAAGTGTTTCCGAGCTGTTTGATTTTGATTTGATTTTCTTTATTTTCATTAACTACCGAGTGTTTACTCTTAAGCAAATATATATATCTGCTAGTGACTATCGTGTAAAAATTAACTGAGACTCGCACTACCTGTGAGAAGTTTAAACTGTGCACTTAGATAACAGTAAGAATAGATATACTACCGACGTAGGCACGAGGGCTTATGATGCAACAATTCGAGGTTCGATCCCCGCGGTGAACATACCACGAATATTTCATTGTGTATGTTGAGTGGACGGCAACTGTCTGTTGTAGAAACACAAGTGTTGTAGAGGACGACGTTTCGAAAGTCTTCCGCCTTTCGTCTTCAAGCGGAAGATTTTCGAAACGTCGTCCTCTACATTTGTGTTTCTACAACAGACAGTTGCCGTCCATTCAACTCTGCCTAAACAATCTATCAAAGAAAAGCTCATTGTGCAGCTTTATGCTGCATATGAGTAAATTACAGCCGGCTAATATTCGTGTCAGTAGGTCAATATTCGTCCACTGCTAGTAAAATGCCCTCATGCAGCATGATAATGCCACGCCCTTATTGACCGTCAGCTATTAATTAAGAAGTTCTGACCTCACATACAGCTCTAGCCTGTGACTTCCATTTAAAAACGATTAAGTTGGACAACGCTTCTAGATAAGTGGTATTCTTAGTGCAACTGCACACAATTAAATTCGTAATATCACACCTGCATTTTTCGGAACTCGTATGAAGGAGTTCACGGAGCGGTGGAGAAAATGCATCTTGATTTAGGATGACTTTGTTGAGATGTATTGTCAAGTTGTCTGCATGCTCAACTATTGGTTGATGTAAGTTTGTTTGTGGTTGTCTTACAGGAACTAAGATCCTTTTTTTTTCTTCTCCTGAGTACCCTTTGTTTTATAAGTGATTAACTCCAATTTCTTTAGATTTTTACTATTTTAAAACTTTTTACAGCAAGCTTTTGGTTATTCGAAGTTTTCTCCAAAGAAAGAGTAACTGTATTTTTCAGCTGTTGTTGAAACTGTAGTGTATATTATTGTAATATTCATTTCATTTCTAAAAACTATCTCGATGTTTAAATCCTCCTTCAATGTAAGATGAAGAGCGTATTTTGTAAGTTCTACATCTGACAGAGAAGGAATTCCGAGAACAAACATTTCGATACCTGTCAAGTATAGTTCCGTTTGCAATACATTGCAGTAGACAGCCATGATGGATTTATATATTTATGAACCCAGATACAATGGAATGGAATTACGTTAACATTTTACAATTTTCTCGAAAACCTTATATTTTAAAACTGAAGTTCAGACAAAAAATAGACCATGAGCTGGATTTCAACAAAGAAGAAAACAAACAAATGCTAATAAAAGGGAATGGCCAAGAATTCTATTATAATTCATTTGTTCTTCAACAGTAGATATAAGTCATAACAAAGACCGGTATTCTCCGACTTATAAACCCAATAACTTAATTATTTGTTAAGTCACATTATGGTCCTAGAAAATAAATAGTACTGAACATCAGTTTTTAAGTAACATTATGGGGCTTAGAAAATAAATAGTACTGAAGATCAGTTGT